GGGGTGGGGCACCCCGGCGGCGGGGGTCCGGGGGTCAAACCCCTACCCTGGCTTTGCCCCCGGGGGCCCCCGCCTGACAACCCTGCCGGTTTCCAGCAGGTGACGCTCCGTCGCTCCCCACCAATAGATGGAGCAGCCCAGTGACCAAGTCCTCAATCCCGAAAGCTCTCTTACCACCGCCAGGACAGTGGACTTGCTTTCAAAAAAAAAACAAAAACAAAAAACATCTGGAGTCCTGCTATGAGAGTTACTTTTTTTGACATTTAACTTGAACTGTTGAAGTTGTCAAAGTGAAGAGCATTTATGTGCACAACCCAAAGGTCAAAACAAAATTGTTCAGTCAAAACAAAATTGTTCAGTCAAAACAAAGTTGTTCAGTCAAAACAAAGTTGTTAAACATAGATGACGGAGCTACTTTTGCCCTCAGCAACACAGTCAAAACAAAGTGAGCTACTTTTGCCCTCAGCAACACAGTCAAAAAAAGTGAGCTGCTATTACCCTCTTGAGTCTTGACATCAAGAGTGGCCGAGATGATGCATTACGCCATTCGAAAATAGACATAAATGAAGATAGCAGACATCATTGATTGACGATGATAATTCTTCGAAAAAAAAGGGGGAATCGTCCCCGTAAGCAGGGTAATCTACCCTTGGGAGGAGGAGAATATAGCCGCACAGTAAGCAACATGACGCATGATGAAAAGGTAAAACAAACATAGGCTAGCCCTATGAAAACTAACGTGTCTAATATGCTGACAGTTTTCCCGGATAAGGAAGGCTGACACAAGTTTCTGCATCCTCAAAACCTAACACCTGACTTTAGGGTGTGCTACCCAACATTTCGCCATTTGTGGGATTATTTCCAGTCCCTGCCCACTGAAACTCAGTGCAGACGCACTTTAGCCAGATCTTCCTCCGACTAACACAGATCAGCCATATGCCCCTAGCATGAAGTTCGGTCACACACTTTGATAACTATAGGTGACCTTACGGCTGCCCTCCAAACCGCATCGGCTATCGCCATGATCAAGTCCAAGCTCTTACCCAATCAACCCTATCCCGCTCTGCATGACCACGAAGCTACCTCTCAATCCTACCCCATACTGCAGCAACCCCAAGTACCCATCGAGCCACCCTTCTCCATTTTCATAGCTAACCTAGCCTGCTAAATAGCCACACGGTAACAGCCACCCCCTTCTATTAATCGTCACCCTGCCACTGTAAATAGCCACATGACAACAACCACCCCCTTCTATGAATAGCCACCCTGAGAGGTTTGGGATAAAAGGCACACATACACAAACAGAAGAGAAGACTCTCTTATGCAACGAACCGAGACACCTCGGCTGTAAATTCCCTTTGCTGCCTTCCTCCACCTCCCTGCGCATAAACGTTCACCGTTGTTGCCATGTGACACTATCAACTGCACATTCTTCCTCATCACCATAACTTACTTCTTTCTGCCTCCCATTACTGCACACTATAACAGTGCTGCCTCCCATTACCGCACACTATAACAGTGAAAGTGAAATCCTTGGTTACAAGTTATAACAAGACATTGGAGCTGACTTGATACAAGAGGCAGGCCCTACCAGTGGTGAAGTGCCACCACCTCCAGAAGGCATAAATCATTGGGCCATACAACCACATCGCACACTGTTTTTCCACCTCACGCTCCCCCCACCAACCTTCCCCGAGATCGGCCCGATGTGCTCACCTAAACCTGAGGAGCAAGATATGGGCTCTCAACAGAAGTCCTATCGTCTTTCACCTGGTAGACCGACCTTGATCCACATATACCTCCTCTTACACTCATTTAGCCTCTTGCAGAGGCCGCCGACCTTCAAAACTGCTCTGGTCTTCACGCCCTGGCCTTCACCTTGCTCGACTTCGGGGCAACTACATTCTTCTTCTTCTTTGGAGGAGGTGGGGGCTGCACAAATGAACAACAGGATTACAGGCACCATCAATAGCAAGCTCCTGACATGCAAACTTTTTTTTTTTTTTTTTTTTTAAATATTAGAAGGCTAATTCTTTAAGCCCAACCAATTCAATTACCTGTCCAATCTGGACAGGACGGCGTTTCAGGCCTTCTTTTATTGTCATTATAGTATTATGGGGAACCCCGTAGCAGCCACATCCGTGCTCAAGCCTCCAACGAGGGAACATGCGGGAGCTGCACCCACCAGCAGGTGCGATACCTGCTACAGCAGATGGGCGATACCGGCCAGGGTTCAGCCGGTAGCATCAGGACCAAGCTTCTTCGATGGGCCAGTCACTGTGCCTCCCCTCCAGCCCCCTCCCCCTATGAACATCAGCAGTCTCTGCTCAATGCCACTCGGGGGGACCAACGACATATCTCTAGGTGGCGGGCGCCAAGCTTGCCCAGGAAGGTGCATGAGGCCAATGGGGATTGAACCCAAGACCTCCTGAATGCGACTTGCGTGCCTTACCAACTGAGCTAGGCCGCTGATCTGACATGCAAACTGATGACACACCGGGGCTGAAAAAAGGCAGTTGAAATAAATAACTCGCACAAAAATCCCTACACACACACACACACACAGAGGGAGAGAGAGAGACACAGAAAGAAGACAGACAGAGAGAAGGGGGGCCACGGGGGGGCGAAGGGGAAGAGAGAGAGAGAGAGAGAGAGAGAGAGAGAGAGAGAGAGAGAGAGAGAGAGAGAGAGAGAGATCCCATGCTTTTTCCCCAAAAGTGGATTTTGGCAAAACAACACACACCCTCATTTTTGCTGCATCTGACGGGAAACATGCCTTGTATACATCGTTATCAGGGTGTGTTATGTTTTAGGGAAGACATGCCCGTCCTCTCTCTCTCTCTCTCTCTCTCTCTCTCTCTCTCTCTCTCCGCGGCCGCAATACCCATCTCCCTGCACTATGCACCCTCATTTTGGCTTCACCAGACCGGAAAGATAGCTTGTATACATCCGTTATCAGTGTGGCAAAAAACACAACGCACCCTGATAACAAATGTATACAAGCTCTGTCTGTCTCTCTCAACATGCCAAAACAAGAATTTTGCATTGGAAAAAAAAAAAAAAAAAAAAAAAAAAAAACCTTTCAATTCCCCCACCCCTGGATACTAGACTTCAGGGGCCGCTGCCCCATGTTTTCATTTATTTTTTTAACCCCATAAATCCCACAAACAATTCGTTCGCGGAGTTAAAACGAGTACAATGGGGGTTTTGTACTCGTGTGCAACGCATGGTACGCGAGTACCAAAAAGAAAAGAAAATTGTACGGGAGACACGCCTAGCCCGGGGCCAGTTAGTTCAAAACCGATCTCAAGGCCATGGCCATTTCATTTTTTCAAAAAAAGCTGAAACACAATCATTGCACAGAGATTTAGATGGACGTAAGAGGGAGAGAGTCATGCAGACACATGAGAGGAATTACGAATATGACCTCCGCATGGAGAGAGACAAACGGGAGGAATTACGAATATGACCTCCGCATGGAGAGAGACAAACGGGCAAGCTGAGATACTCGACGAATCTGACCTCCGCATGGAGAGAGACAAAAGGGAAAGCTGAGGTACTCACCGTGGACAACTCCTCTTCATGTTTTGGAATGAATGCTGTGTCGACCTTGCCATCCTTGAAATCCTGTTCAAGGCAAAATGAATGAATGTCATTGACTGATTATTAACTCTTAATAGAGATACAGATGCAAGGTCCAAGACATAACAGATTTTTTTTTTTTTTTTTTTTTTTTGGGAAAATAGCCCTTGCGATATCCCTCTATCCTGGCGGTGATAAGAGAACAGTCAGAATTGAGGGCTTATCTGTCGGGCTGCTCCATCTATTGGTGGGGAGCAGCACCTGCTGGAAACCGGGTCCAGCGTCACGGCGACCTTCCAGAGTTACTTGATTATTTATTACACGGCTTATGGCAACAAAAGGAAAGAGAATGCGAGGCCCAACCAACACGTACACAGCTTTATGCAAAAAGGGAAAAAGAAAAAGAAAGAGAACAACAAGGAAAGAAATATTATCTGGATGGATGCCCTCTATCGAACACGATCTGAAGTCTCGACGTGTACATCAACGGCAGGTAGCCCTTACTGTTTTTTTTTTTTTTTTTTTTTTTTTTTACCGGTGGCAGGKGCACGGCGCTACTACTACATTTCTTCTCGAAAGACTACAGGCATTACTTCTTTGGAGCTGCAGCAAACCTCACAGCCTACTGTGCTTCGGGACATCTGCTAAAATTGAAATGAGACAGAGAAGGAAGATCAGCATGCCCCCCCCATGGACATACATGGCTCATGAACAGACACTGGTCACCTCGAAAGGAGGGAAACAGAATCAGACTGGAAGGAAGACCACACAATGGGGACCCCCCTAGCAGACACTGGGCAAAACTGATCTCAATCTGGAGGGAAGCCTTTCCACAGAGGTGAAGAGAGCCAACCCCGCTTTGGCAATGACTTCCTGAAAGATCAGAATGGCCAACCATGCACACTGTTAGGGAGGGAAAATGGGTAGAAAACGGCTTGTGGAAGGTGGAAAACATATGGGACGATCACAACCAGAAATGGAGAACAAAAGTGGAGCTTAGACCAAGAACGAGACGCAACCATAACCTACGTGCAAGGAATATGAGTGAGAGCGGTAGACAGAAATCCAAGTTGCAAAATCACGAAATAGCCCGGATAGATAGTCATGTACCGAGCAGAGAGCACAATGCACCAAGATTGCATCCAAATAAGAGCGAGCAATACAATGAACTCGAGTGCCAATGCCGACGCTCTCTGGTCACACCACCTCTGTATCCAACGTCACTCCTACTGTCCGGCGCCCAGCGCCCTGCCTACACTACTCAGCCTATCTATCCTATATACGTTCATGCAACTGGATCATATCGAAGTTGAGAAGACCAATGTACGTGACATCATCACCAATGCCGACCGCCCGCATACACCAGGTACGATCTCTCTTCTCCCCTTTCTCACACCTTGATCCCCTCTGCATCCGCCTCCTAGCCGAAGACCACCATCGCTGTCACCTGCATCCGCACGTGCTGCCCGGCTACGGCCGCCGGGCGCCCACTGCCACCGCAGCGCCCTCTCCGGCTCTCACCTCTCAGCGCCCGTATGCGCCCCAGCCTGCCAGCGCTAAGCAGCGCTTAATCCAACAACGCAGCAGCGTGGCCACATTGCCTTGGCAGGCCAGAATGCCATGCCCAGGGGGCACTCACTTTCCTTTATAGAAATTGTGCCCGCTGCTGGCTAACCTGACCAGGCATGTGGGGCCCAGGAGCTTCAGTTTGGCCCCAAGTGTCTGCGCCCAGGCCCAGTTTGAGATACTGGCCTGGGCCTCGTGCAGTTAGGCACATTCAGGCAGCCACCCAGCCTCCACGTGTTCGCAGCATTCTCATTGGTTCCCGGTGCATGTGTGACGACAATGCTGCTTTCTCATTGGCCCGCGGCCAGTCCGTGATGTGTCCGCCTCGCACAGCATGTACCCAGGGCACAACCAGGCTCAACTGTACAGCGCAGCCCTTTCTTCTGAAAGGAGCCTGAAGGCTCACGTTGCTCTGTAACCAACTGGCGTGCTGCAACTGTCTGATACCTCACATATGAAAAATGTCAAAAGTAGACCTACACAAATACACAGTGAAGAAGAGCTACAATACGGCATAGAGAGGAAAGCCCTCAGCAGGTCATCGTTGCCAGATGGGCAAAGAACCTCCAAATAGACCCAGCATGGCTACAGACAATACCTTGGACCTACTACGCATGAATTAGACCCAATTGGGTAAGGAGCCTACAATGGCTAATAATCTGCATGGCAGTCCCAGACTCCAGTCATGCCGGACAAGAGTCTAGACGCAAGGAAGAAGATACAGCTGACTCTTCCCCACTCTGTCGAATGTGCCAGGAGCAAGAGTTGGAAACTCTAACACATTGCCTTTTGAACTTCCAACGTGCAAAATTGCTCTGGGACAGATGCAAAAAAGCCCGGTCCAAGGAATCCTGGGAAGAAGCAAAGGGAATGTTGGAAGCTGAAATGGAAACGCACCCTGGGAAGGATGGATAGAGAAGAGTAGAGAAGAGGACAATCTGAAGAAGAGCAGAATCCAGAAGGAATTCAAAGGGACATGGCTAAAAGAGGGGCTAATAGCAGAAATAACTGGAAGAACCCTTCACGGATTGGTGGCACCCGCATAGACAGACGATAGCACAGGGCAGGCCAGCTCCCATGGACCTGGATTAGTAAGAGAAGAAATCACCTCCTACGCAGATTTTAGTCACCGGAAGTCAGAAAAATAATTGACAAGGAATAGGGGCACGAGGATGTAAACTGGGTGGCTTGTAGGAGATCGATAAGAGGGATATTGGAAGTAGGAAGTAGCAGAGGGGCTAGAGAAAGAAGAGGTAACAACGGGACCAGCAGAACTTGAGCATAGGACAAGACAGCCCGAAGAACAGCCCCGGAGTAAAACTGGGCAGAGCACTATGGACAAAAAGGAAAACACCTCATGGAGAGATACGGAAGTCAGGAGGAAACAGCAGGTGTCACATTACTCTAGGGATGTAAACATATCAGAGAGCAAATAGCTGAGACGAGCATAGCAATGCCTAGCCCAGGAGGCAGATTGGAACCCCCCCGACGGGAACCTGACGCCCCAACAGCTGAGCGAAGTGACAGGGCCGCTAGGATTTGGGGTTTTAGCAAATGTCAGTAGTAAGTAGCCAAGATAGCAGCCCCATTACTCAAGGTAAATCTGACAGCCAAGTAGCTGTTATGGCTCTCATAGATAAGTTACAAGAGTCCTTCGGGGCATCCATTAAAATTGGAACGATACAGAGAAGATTAGCATGGCCCCTGCGCAAGGATGACACGCATAAATCCAAAAATTGTCCAATTTTTTTTTATTTTTTTTTAAAGATAAGTTACAAGAAACAGAGGTAATAAAAGGCAGGTTAGCAACCAACATCAAAAGTATGTCCTGCAGGCTAGCTTAGGCAGTGGTGAGGGGGTGGTACATCCTTCCCTCCGGAAGTAATCATTGCGTCCACTCGGGCCTCGCAGCCGTAATGGGGAGGAGTGTGCGTGAATTTCTATATATAATTCTTTCTGACTTGCCGGTGGAATAGGAACCGGACTGATGCTCCCCACAATGGAAAGGATCCAGAACCGCAAGGTTCTGTGTTTTTTTTTTTTTTTTTTT